CGGCACCGCATGATCAAGATGAGCCCCGCAGATGGCTCCATGTGCAAGGCTGAGACCTCCCAGGCGGAGAAGTGCATGATGCCCGAGTGCCGTGAGTAGGCATGGGGGTGTGCTTGGAGGAGGTGACCAGGGCCAGGCGTGGAGAGCCATGCCACCCCCTATTACCACCATAAATGTCAGAGGCTAAGCAGGAGGAAAGCATGGCCCATGGTCCTTGCTGGGTACTGCTAGGAGCCAGATGACAGCCATAGGTGTGTGGACATCAACCAGACCCAGAGAGAGTAACCTCCACTGGGGGACATTCTGAGCAATACTGGGGTGGCAAACTGGTAACCTTTGGATAGAATTCACCTGCAGCTGGGTTTTATAGGAGTGTCTTTCTTGCAGTGGTGGGGAGGAAGGGTAATACATTTAGGTGGGGCATACACTACCCAGGTCCAGCCCACTCCTGTTGTACATTGGACTTGGCTGATCCCATAAAGCATGACCTCCCTGCTCTGCACAAATGCATATGGGCCTGCCCACACATCAGCACGCAGATGTATACAGGCACACAAGTGCATATTCTAGGGAATTCAGGACCACAGTCTCCAAAAATGCGGCCCTTGGCCCCTCCTTTAGTGCCTGATTCTTGGTGACTGTGGGATGTTTCTGTCTCTAGGAAGATCGTACTTTCCAGTGGGGACTTCTGTAGTCATATTACTACCCTCATGTCATAACCACCAGGGGGCCGGGAAGATGAAAGAGTGACAAGAAGAGCAGTAGGCTGCAGAGCCACTTCCTGCTCCATAGAATTCACTCTTACGTGAACCCACAGGCCAATTCTATATTCCAGGGGCCAAAGCAGGGGACTGGGGGTGGGATATTGTCAGGCCAGGGAGATCAAAGAAAACAAAAGGAGCCTGTTCTCAGTGGCAAACCTGGTTCTTGATCTAGACACCATCCCATGCTTGCTGTCCCCATGGTCTGAATGGAGCGACTGCAGCGTGACCTGCGGGAAGGGCATGCGAACCCGCCAGCGGATGCTCAAGTCTCTGGCGGAACTTGGAGACTGTAATGAGGACCTGGAGCAGGTGGAGAAGTGCATGCTCCCAGAATGCCGTAAGTCTTGGAGCTCCCCGAAGCCCATCACTTCTCTCCTATGTTCCTGAGTCCAGGGAGCCCTGAACCAGGCAGTGCTGATACTGCTAGATCCTAGAATAAAATGGTTTGCTGGGGAGGAGCTTGGGGTTTGGCAGTTAGTGTCTGCAAAATACTACATCAATTTCATTAGTAAAGTGAGAATCCCACTACCATCTACAAAACACCCAAAGTGCAAGTTGCTGTGAAGTCTAAATGGGAGACACATGAAAAACAGTGCAAGGCTCAAAAAACCTTAGTTCTTTCCCTCCCCTCCCCCAACAATTATGGGCTTGCCTGACCCATGGATTTTCTGAGCTTTTGAGTTCTATTCTTCTCCCTGTGACCATTTTATTTCCCCATGACCAGACCCTGGACATTAAATCAATGACTCCAGCAGACTGGTAAGAAAACCAGCAAGAAAACAAGCCAAGTTCTCAAAAGCTCACCCCACCTCACTCCCAGTCCTGTTCTCCTCCAAAATCTCTGCCATCAGCTGTTTGTATTAAATGGGACTAATCTCCAAGCAGAGCGAGCCAGTTTCTTTGGCTGGTCTTCCAAGAGCTGCTCTTTTGGGTGATGAAAGGGCAGGCACACTGGCTGTGGCTCTGGCCCCCTCCAGCACACACTTGCAGTCTTTCATGCTCCCTCCCCTAGTTAGTAACCTTCAGCCGATGATTCAGCACCTCTGTTCCTCAGTTTCCCCATCTGTAAAGTAGCAGGAAACACTTCCTAGGCTGCTCTGAGGATGAAACTGAGTATTTGGTCCAAAGTATGAGCACCAGATGTGGCAAGGATAGGCCTCAATCCCTGCTCCATGCTTCAGCTCCTGGGCTGTTAGGTAACTTGGACCATCCATTAGAGAAAGCCTGGGATTTTCAATAACTAAGACTGGCCTATGGTTCAGGCCAGCTCACCAGAGTTGGAGCCCCATAGCCTTCTGACTGAGAGGGTCTGACTTAAAAGTCTTCATATTCACGGGGTCCATTAAAGTAAGGGAGATGAAAATGAACGTTTATGGAGCACTCATTTAATCCTTACAACCTAATGAGAAAAATACCACGATCCCCATTTTGCAAATAAGAAAGCCACCTGAGTTCCCACAGGGGAGTAAAAAAGAACTGAAACTGTTGAAACTAAAAAAGAACAGTCTAGGTCCAGCCTGACTTTGGCCTTGCAAGGCCAACAGAGCACTTGGAATAATTTACCTCCCTGGAACACATCTTGACAATTAGACTGATGTGTTATTAGTAAGAATTTACTGGATTTCATACTGTGATAAACCATGAAGTACCACTTGCTCCTGACCCTCTTCTCTACTGAATGTCCCATTTATAGCTCCTGTTTTTCACATAGACTCACCACATATAGAACACAGGATGATACCAAAATGAAAAGCTGCCAGGGCATGTGATAACTACCATGTCCTTGGTATTGGTCTACAAGGGTCAGCCACTTTTAGCTTGTTGATATGTTCTCTTCAAAGAGCAGCAGGGAGCTTGTTGGTCTTGCTCTGAAAAATACCATCAGTGAGTTTGGGAGTGTAGGAGGCTGTTCTATACTTGAAGCTGATCTGACAATACTCTAGGAGCTCACGGAGCAGGGCAAGAGGCTCTGAACACATCTTCAAAGTCCTCCAAAGCCTTCTTGAGTCAAAGAGGGATCAAAGAATGGGTGATGACCTGGCACAAATCCTGCCTCTGCTGCTTACCAACCACCGGGGCTGGATGAAGTCAGCCCGCCTCTTGGAGTTTCTTTTTCTGTAAAATGGCATGACATGGCACTTCCTTTGCATTCCTCATAGGCTTGTTGAGATGTTCAAAAAAGAGTGTGACCAGATCTTGTTTCAGACATGAGATACACTGATGCCCATCTGTGTCTTGCCAGCCATTGACTGTGAGCTCACCGAGTGGTCCCAGTGGTCGGAGTGTAACAAGTCATGTGGAAAAGGCCACATGATTCGAACCCGGATCATCCAAATGGAGCCTCAGTTTGGAGGTGCACCTTGCCCAGAGACTGTGCAGCGGAAAAAGTGCCGCATCCGGAAATGCCTTCGAAATCCATCCATCCAGAAGCTACGCTGGAGGGAGGCCCGAGAGAGCCGGCGGGGCGAGCAGCTGAAGGAAGAGTCTGAAGGGGAGCAGTTCCCAGGTATCCCTCCCAAGTGTGGGCCTGGGCTGGTCTCCAGGACAGGGGGGCTCTACACTGGGCCAAATCTTGGATCTGTCAAACAAACAAAAAAAAGACTGGGGGAGAGTCGCATTTTCTGCAGTCTTCAGACCACATTTTGATTCTTCAGATCCAAGTTTTTTCCCAGATGTTGGGCAAGCAAAATTCATAAAGAGGATTGGGGGTCAGAGGGTCCTTTATCAAACAACATTTAGATAACCTAATTACCTGCCAAAAGTAAATTTTCAAGCAAAGAATCTTCAGGAGTTGCACAATTCCTTCCTTTCTGCACATGTATAAAACCAGAAGTGTGTCTAACTGCTCAAAATCAGTTATGACTTAGTAACCCCATCCACTCCTTGCAAAAGGGGAAAATGATACAGATATGTCAAAGGAGTCTTGTTCGTCAGTTAGGGAATGTTCCCGAGAACCTCCCAGAACATGTCATCTTCCATTTTAAGGGTGTGGCTCAGACAAGGCAGCCATGGCCTGAGGCTTTATGATTTTTCTTGCAAGGCTAACCAGAAGTTTAGCAGCAGTGTCATGTCAGCCTTGAGTTTTATTTCCCGAAATAATATTGATCCAAGCGGCCAAATAATTGAGCAATGCACCAAGTGCTCAGGGAGCTGAGAAATGAGCATCTTACACTGACTGGAGTTCAGGGACATGTCAGAACAGGGAAAGTTACAGTGGGTTTTGAAAAACTTGGGAGTTGTTTGCCACATAGAAAAGTACATTCCAGGCTGGGTGTGGTGGCTTAGGCCCGTATTCCCAGTACTTTGGGAGGCCAAGGTGGGCAGATCACCTGAGGTCAGGAGTTCGAGACTAGCCTAGTCAACATGGTGAAACCCCATCTCTACTACAAATACAAAATTAGTCAGGCGTGGTGGTGCGTGCCTGTAATCCCAGCTACTCGGGAGGCTGAGGCAGGAGAATCGCTTAAACCCAGGAGGCAGAGGTTGCAGTGAGCCAAGAGTGCACCATTGCACTCCAGCCTCGGCAACCAGGTAGAAACTCATCTCAAAAAAAAAAAAAGGTACATTCCAGGCGGCAGGAATAGTCATTGCAAAGATAGATGGTCTCTCCAGTAGCCTAGCCAAGCTTGCTTACATGTTGGTGGAAAGGTTCCTAGCAGCTTTTATTAGGCCCATTCTTGCTCATGTCCCATTGGCCATAGCAAGTCGAGTTATCAAGCCCATATTCAAGAGGTGGAGAAACAGAGTCAACCTTTCGATGAGAAGACCCATGAAGCATTTGTGGCCATTTTTTGCAATCAATCACATATGACCTAACTGTTCCAAGTAAGGACTCTAACGAAATCATTACATACTTGAGCCGAGGAGGAGCCCAGACAACCACATTTCACAGTTCTACTAGAGTTCAGCATCCCTGTTCTGTCCCCAGTTTCTGCTGGCCTAACCAAGCATTCTCATGCTTTCAGGTTGTAGGATGCGCCCATGGACAGCCTGGTCAGAATGCACCAAACTGTGCGGAGGTGGGATTCAGGAACGCTACATGACTGTAAAGAAGAGATTCAAAAGCTCCCAGTTTACCAGCTGCAAAGACAAAAAGGAGATCAGAGCATGCAATGTTCACCCTTGTTAGCAAGGGTACAAGTTCCCCAGGGCTGCATTCTAGATTCCACAGTCACCAATGGCTGGATTGTTTATTTGCTTGTTTAAGACAATTTAAATTGTGTACACTAGTTTTCATTTTTGCAGTGTGGTTCGCCCAGTAGTCTTGTGGATGCCAGGGACATCCTTTCTGAATACTTCTTGATGGGTACAGGCTGAGTGGAGCACCCTCATCTCCAGCCAGCCCTCTTCCTGCACAGAAGTGAGTAGTGTCAGCCACCTTGTACTAAACTGAAACATGTCCATGTCCTTCTGGAGCTTCCACCTGGCCAGGCAGAACAGAGACCTTGACCTCCTCCACATGGAGAGGCAACCATGTCTGGAAGTGACTCTATGCCTGAGTCCCAGGGTGCAGCTGGTAGGAAACATTCTCAATCAGATGAAGGGAGCATATTCCCTTCATTCTCATCTTTGGCCTGTTCACTGAAAACGCTGTTTGCCCATGTCTTCTTAGTGGAACTTTAGGTCTCTTTTCAAGTCTCCTCAATCAACAGTAGTTCCTGAGGAAAACAGAGCTGGTAGACTTGAAAAGGAGCATTCATGTTGGGTGGCTTTTGTTCTTTCATTGAGAAATTCGGAATACATTTATCTCACCCCTGATATTGGCTCCCGATGCCCCTCGGAAACAACAAAAAAAAAATATCGCTGCTTTATTTAAATGTAAGGTAACAAGTTTTTATACCTGAGATAAAGGATAAGTAAATTTAGAGTGTATTTTTCCCTTGCTTTTGGGGGTTGGGGGGAGTATGCACAATTCTTCTAGGAAGCCAGCCTTCTTTACTTTTTGGTACTAAACACTGATTGGAACCAAGACCAAGGCAGCAAAATTGGTCTCTTTAGCAGGCCCATACCTGAATTTTAAAATCTTCCTACACACATCTAGACTTTCAAGTTTGCAAATCAGTTTTTAGTAAGGAAACATTTTTGTTATACTAACATTTTGCTAAGTCTGCCCAAAGCCTCCCAAATCATTCCTTCAACAAAAGTTATCTCTGTACTTCTTTAGTTATTTTAGTCATAAAATTTTATATGTAGAGAGAAAAAGTTATCAAGACAGAAAGTAAATCTAAGAGAAAGGAATATTATTATGGGATTAAGCTGAGCAAGCAATTCTAGCGGAAAGCCAAACCTGTGTTAGTGCTCCACACCACCGTGGCAGTCCTCCCAGACATGCACAGGAATGGCCACGGGTTTACACTGCCTTCCCAGCAATTATAGGCACACCAGATTCAGGGAACCTGACCACCTAGGGATAGTATAAAAGGACATTTTTTTAGTTGGGTCCATCAGCAGTTTTTGTTCCTGCATTTATTGTTGAAAACTGTTTCTTTTATAGGCCTTCTTACTGCTTAATCCAAATGTGTGCCATTGGTGAGACACATATAATGCTCTGAATACACTAAGAATTTGTATTAAACACATCAGGATATTTCCAAATACAACATACTATAACCCTGAATATGTATTTTAACACAAGAAAGACTGTTCAGTAAAAACTCACTGGGTCTTTTATGTTTTTAAGCTAAGTAAGTGTACTGAAGGTTAAGTCTTTTTTATATTGTCCTCCACTTCCATCATTTTCAGTAAAAGACATGGCTTTTCCTCCCTTGTTCTTGGAGGGACCGTTATTACATCATCTCTGAACTACCACCTTTGTCTCCAACATTTTTTAAATCCTTAAATGAATTGCTTTCTTCCAAAAAAAAAGGAGCACAAGATAAAGAAACATGAGATTTAATTTCCTACTTGAGGAAAAAAAAAAAAAAAAAAAAAAACTCCTCTTCATATAGAACTGCCCACTTTTGCAACATTGTTCTAAGCTATCTAGAAAACTCTCAACCCATGATAAAGTTCCTAAGACAGTGATTCCTAATCCAAGGACAAGCCACCCTAACGTCTCATGTTATTTGGTCACAGTTGGGTACATTTAAAATCCTGATTCTAGAGACTTACTTAAAACCAGGTTAATGACTAAGAATGGATAACACGACTCTTGTTGCATTGTTATTTTTTGTTTGTAATGGGGAATTTATAAGGAACATCAAGTCTCTTTCTTACCAAAGTCTTGTTAGGTGGTTTATAGTTTTTCTGGCTAACAAATCATTTTGGAAATAAAGACTTTTTACTGCAAAAATGAAATTTGTTTGGACTTCCACTTGAGATAGTAAAGAGTATATTAGACACCCAGTAAAAACTGCCATAGAAAGAAGTTATAATTGTTTGTTGTGTATATTTTTTTTCAATGCCAAACCAGTTGTAATCCAATTTACATCCATATTTTAGGTTCAACAGCAAGAAGTTCAGAGAGAGATTTCCCAACCAGACATTGGGTCACTCACTGGTCACCTTGTCAGTGCATGTTATTTGAAGGGAATCTGCTGTAGCAAATGAGAATAAATCTGGGCTTCTATAGATCCAGAACTGAAAAAAATTAAAAAATTGTGCTGTTTTTAATTTGAACTTTGCATATTAAACATATTTTAGGCATACTCAGTCTATGTACTCACTGCAGGAAATTAAAGGTATATTATACATTCTCATGACTATAGCTCTCCAGAAACAGTCCAGGTCAAGTACACGGCTAAAATGTGCTAGGGCTTGAGTCCGTTCCCACCAAAACTCATGTCTTAAATTTGATCCCCAATGTGGCCACATTGGGAGGTGGCCTAGTAAGAAGTGTTTGGGTCATGCAGGCATATCCATCATGAATGGCTTGGTACCATTGTACTGAAAGAGTTCTAGCGCTCTCTAGACTGAATTAGTTCTCACAGAATTGCTCCCAAGGGAGTAGGCTATTATGAAGCCAGGATGCCCCCTCGCTTTGACTCTTTGAACACCTCCATGTCTTCTTTCACCTTCCCCGTTATGTTATGACACAAAATGCAAAGCCCTCAGCAGAAACGGAGAGACGCTGGCAGCATGCTTCCTGTACTTCCTAGCCTGAAGAACCATGAGCTAAATAAACCTTTTTACTTTATAAATTACCCAGTCTAAGGTATTATTATAGCAACATTAAAAGGACCTAAGATGAATGTCAATACACACAAATTCTCAAAGTCAAATTATTGCTGTGACTTATTTCTATTTAGCCTACATTTCAGACAACGGTTAAATTTTTTTTTTTTCTGAGACAGAGTTTTGCTCTTGCTGCACAGGCTATAGTGCTGTGGTGCAGTCTAGGCTCACTGCAACCTCCGCCTCCCAGGTTCAAGCGATTCTCCTGCCTTAGTCTCCCAAGTAGCTGGGATTACAGGCATGCGCCACCATGCCTGGCTATTTTTTTTTTTATTTTATTTTTAGTAGAGATGGGGTTTCTCCATGTTGGTCAGACTGGTTTTGAACTCCCAACCTCAAGTGATCTGCCCCCCTTGGCCTCCCAAAGTGCTGGGATTAAAAAAATAATTTTTTTTTTAAAATTTGTCCTGCCACCGCGCCCGGTCAAAAAAATAAAATTTGTTTTAAATATCAGAAAATCTAGCCTAAGCAATATGGCAAAACCTTGTCTATACAAAAAATACAAACATTGTTCAGGCATGCTGGCTCATGCCTGTAATCCCAGCAGGCTTTGGGAGGCCAAGGCAGGCAGATCATCAGAGGTTAGCAGTTTGAGACCAGCCAGGCCAACATGGTAAAATCCCATCTCTGCTAAAAATACAAAAATTAGCTGGGCATGGTGGTGCATGCCTGTAGTCCCAGCAACTCAGGAGGCTGAGGCAGAAGAATAGCTTGAACCAGGGAGGCAGAGGTTGCAGTGAGCTGAGATCACACAACTGCGCTCCAGCCTGGGCAACAGAGCAAGACTCCATCTCAAAAAAATAAATAAATAAAAAATAGCCAGGCATGATGGTGCATGCCTATAGTCCCAGTTACACTGGAAGCTGAGGTGAGAGAATCACCTGAGACCAGGAGGTAGTCTTTGGTGGGCTGTGTTCATATCACTGCACTCCAGCCTGAATGACATAGCGAGACCCTGTCTCCAAAAAAAAAAAAAAATCAAAGCTCAAAGAACTGTAGAAAGGCCTCTCATCGGTTTATAACGGAATCTGACCATTAAAAGCACCCAGCTTTCTAAGTTCAGCTACCTAAGGAGCTAAATATTTATACCCTAACGATATAGAAACTGTTGTTCAAAATAAAAAAGACTAAACATTAATGTTTAATCCCTGATTATAACATAGACTCAAGGAAGACACAGTCATTTCCTCTATTATGTGGAGCTATCAATTTTAATAAAATGATTCATTTTGTTCTTCATACTGCCCAATGTAAGGAGAATGAATAAAAATAAACCTCTTTTGAAAATGAGATGCAATAACAAATTCTAAATAGCAGCTGAATGCTAATTGGCATGAAGCTAATTCTTCAATTTACATCCTTTGAAATCTGAAAGCAAAAGATCTACACTAAATATCAAATTTAAATAATGACATCCTGCTTTAGAAACCCTGTTGGTTCCAAATGCTTCACACACTCTGTAGGGTAGAGAGACAGAGGTTGTGTCATGGTTCAGCACCGGAAACCTAGGTTCAAACCACTGCTGCACCCGAGTAGCTGTGAGGGCTGGGGCCAATTATCTTACCTTTTCTGGCCTTAGGCTTTGACACAAGCTCTTCCATCCAGCTGACGTCTCTACTCCACTTCCACAATGTGGACAATTCTTAAGAGTGGGTCCTAATGGTATCCTGTTGTAGGACTCATTGAAGGCCAACTGCACTCCACCCAATCCTCACTTCATAAATGAGTAAATACACGAACTGTGAGAAGCCGGTTTGCATTTCTGTCACTTATAACCGAAAATGTCATGACAAAATATGCATGCATAATTTTACAGTTATCACCAGAACAAAATGAAATGTCTTCACTTAACATTTATAATATTCATAATGTCTTAACATAAGATAGCATTCATTAACATTTTCTCATACTGCTCTAAATACTCCTAGTCTTTAGAACTGACGGGTAATAGTTCTCATATTTTAAGCAGCTACATGTTTAAACAATTTTTCTTTACCTCAATGTAAGTAAAAGGATGAAAACATCTTACTCAAGTCTACTGACTCCTTTACAACACCTGGAGTTGGTATAAGTATAGTCCCTCTTTTTCTAGTGTTGGAATGTGTTACTCAGTGGTCCTAACCTGGAATCACTAACCTATATGGAAGTCATGAGAGCCACCTGTAAAAAACACTTGCTCCCTTCCCCACTATACTAGTGCTGCCCAAACCAAGACCTGCAGCCTGATAACATCCACAAATGAGATAAGAAACTGAAAGCAAGTGTTCAGAAACTTGTAATTTGACACTGCCATAATATACAGGAGAATGATTATTTTCCAAATAATTCATTTTTTATAACATTAGCAAAGTATCAGCCCACAGCACTGGAGACTAACAATCTTTTAACCTGGCCCTCCAATGCAGATAGTCTTGAGAAGCTGCACTGCACCATTCTCCCCGATAAGAAAGGCATGTACTAGCCTGCAAACTAGGTTTCTAAATCTCTCAAACACTGAAGGACCAGATGTTAATACCTACCTAGTTCCAGATCTGCATACCTCTGTATCTGTGATTAAGTAACTTGGAGTGGCTTTTCTTATTCCTCTAACCTCCTACCCCATAAAACAAGATAACTTCCCCATCTTGCCCTGCTTTTGCCACAGTTTCTCAAAATAGCCCACACTATTTTCTCCACATCCGCAGCCTCAGATCACACCTCAACTCACTATCATCTGGTTTCCACAACTAGAAAACTGAAATAAATCTAAGGAAGTAATCAGCAACCCACACATGACCAGTGCTGCTTCTCACTCCCCCATCCTCTCCACAGCAGTCAATGCTTTCCACCACCTCCTCAGCTTTCTTCACAGAACAGCCTCGTGGTTCTCTCTGGTTTCTGGCTACTTCTCTTGGCTTTTTGCTGCCTCTTAATCTTCTATCTCCCACGTTCGTTTTCCCTGAAGTTTTATAACTTGGATCCTCTCTCAAACACAGTCTTCCTGGAAGATATTACCTATTATTTTCTCCATCACTAAGCTCAAAAGACACAAATTCCAAATCTATATTCCCAGTCCTAGCCTCCTCTTTTGACCTCCAGTTCCCATTTCCAAATGCCTCTGGACTAACCCTGTATGTGACTGTCACATTTATTTCTACCTCCTCTTTTGACCTCCAGTTCCCATTTCCAAATGCCTCTGGACTAACTCTGTATGTGACTGTCACATTATTTCTATCACTAGAGAGTTGTCTACACTCACTTTAATTACTAGTACCACCTTCTTCCTGGTCACCCATACAGTATTTTGGAGACTCAAAACATCGCTTGGATATCCCTCCAGTATGGTCTCCTCCCAATGTCACTGCAGTTCAGGCCTTCATCATCTCTCTCTATTAAATCATCCATTTGTCACATGATTTTTCAGCACATGCGAGGCAATATAAACACAAGAGACATGATTCTGCCTTCACTTAGTTTATAATACGAAGAGGACAGATTCCATGATTCCAACCACCTCTATCTGACTGCCAAATCTGCACTTCTCTGCCATTATGCAACCACTAGATTAGATCCAGGCACCTCCTGTTCAGAATCTTTGGCAGTTTCCCATTATATGCAGAAGGGCCAGCCTATTTAAAGCCCTCCACAACCTGATCCCAGTCTGCTTTATCGTATTTTTTTTCCATTCCATGTAGAATCTTTTTAGGCCAAGGTTCTAGTCCAGAATACACCCTGCATTCTGCCAGCTCTGGGCCTTTCCCATCTTTCCACCGCCTCACTCTTCTCTCCTCTCCATCTCAAATCCTACCAATCCACCAAGCTCAAGCTTAAACACCAATTCTAATTAAGAAGCTCTCTCAGATTTTCCAGGAGGAATATATGCTACAATTCCTTCTGCTGGACTTGACAAAACTTTTTTAATGCTTTTCCTACTCTGCCCTGAAAGTGGGTCCCAGCATTTGTTTTTATCACTCTAAAACTTTCTGCACTAGACTCTGAGCAATTTGAAAGAAGAAAACTCTCCATATTTATCCATTTTCCCAGAATGCCTATTACTGCTATGCACACACACACACACACACAAAACCTGTATGCTCAGTCAAGTTTTTTTGTTTTTGTTTTTTGATACAGAGTCTTATTCTGTCACCCAGGCTGGAGTGCAATGGTGCAATCTCAGCTCACTGCAACCTCCGCCAACTGAATTCAAGCAATTCTCTTGCCTCAGCTTCCTGAGTAGTTGGGATTATAGGTGTGTGCCACCACACCCAGCCAATTTTTGTATTTTTAGTAGAGACAGAATTTCACCATGTTGGCCAGGATGGTCTTGAACTCCTGACACCTTGTGATCCACCCACCTTAGCCTGCCAAAGTGTTGGGACTACAGGCATGAGCCACCGTGCCCAGCCAAGTACTTTTAATTAAAACACATTTTGCTAAAACTTACTTTGCAATTTTAGAAGCAGTCACTGGTTAAATTAGATACCCTTAAGTGATGTGTTTCAGAAAGACTATTTGGTTATCATCTCCTTCTATTTACCTGCCAGTTAGTTATCTGGTTTCTTGTTTTTAAGAGTCTTGGCCAGGTGTGGTGGGTCACCCCTATAAGCCCGGCACTTTGGGAGGCCAAGGTGGGTGGATCACCTGAGGTCAGGAGTTTGAGACAAGCCTGGCCAAAATGACAAAACTCCATCACTACTAAAAATACATAAATTAGCCATGGTGGCACATGCTTGTAATCCCAGGTACTTAGGAGGCTGAGGCAGGAGAATCACTTGAACCCAGGAGGCGGAAGAGCCAAGATCATGCCACTGCACTCCAGTCCGGGCAACAGAGCAAAACTTTAAAAAAAAAAAAAAAAAGGATGAGGTCTATGTTGCACAGGCTGATCACAGGATCATAGCTCTACTGCTGTCTCAAACTTCCTGGGCTAAAATGGTCCTCCCACCTCAGTCTCCAGAGTGACTGAGACTACAGTCACATGCCACCATGCCCAGCTAATTTTTATTTTTACTTTTTTATAGAAATGGGATCTGGTTATGTTGCCTAGGCTGGTCTCAAAGTCTTGGCCTCAAGCAATCCACCTGCCTTGTCCTCTCAAAGTAAAGTGCTGGGATTACAGGCGTGAGACACCATGCTTGGCCCCTACTTACTTGTTAAATGAATTCATTACGTATAGCATATAGCTATGGGAAAAGAAATAACATGAATTAAAACAAGTGATGATAAACAGAAGAGGAGCGAGCTAGACTTTAAGTATATACAACCTTGTTACATCAAATGTTAAAAGCAAATGATAAAATAGTCAATAAGGGTATAATGTATGTCAACAAGGGCAAATGTCCAACTCCGAGATACGGTAAACCTCTAAACAAACAATATAGAAAGAAAATACCTAGAACAGAAATTCATGACCATCCATTCAGCATTCACGAAACGCTGTCTGAAAGAACTTCCACATAAAAGAGGATTAAGAGATTCTAAAGATGGGAATGTAACCTCAAATGGTATATGTGCTATAAAGCAGGGTTGGCAAGCCATAGCCTGTGGATCAAATTCATCCTACCATCTGTTTTTGAACAGAATGGTTTTCACAATTGCAAAGGAGAGTCATATTTCATGACATATGACAATGATATGAAACACAAACATCAGTATACACTAAGTTTTATTGGAACACAGCCACATTCATTCATTTATACATTGCTTATGGCTGCTTCAGTGCTATAATGGCAAGGTGGAGTAGTTGGGACAGAGATACAGCCTGTAAAGCCCAAGATGATACTTAACGATATGGCCCTTTATGAAAAAAGTTGCCAACACCCAACTGTAGAGAAAAAATGGCCACACAGATAAGGACTATTCATTCCAGGCGACTGGCCACTCTTTGTAAGAAACATTTCAAGTCAGAGATTTAAAAATTTATAAGGCACCTCTGATTGTACAGTAAACATCAAATTGGAAAGACTTCAAGTTCCAATGACAATGGAGTAACAGGAATCAGAGTTACCCTCCCTAGACAATTTAAAAACTGGACTAGGCCAGGCACGGTGGCTCACACCTGCAATCTCAGCACTTTGTGGGGCCAAGGTGGGCGGATCACAAGGTCAGGAATTTGAAATCAGCCTGCCCAACATGGTGAAACCCCGTCTCTAAGAATACAAAAATTCGCTAGGCATGGTGATGCGAGCCTGTAATCCCAGCTACTCAGGAGGCTGAGGCAGGAAAACTGCTTGAACCTGGGAGGCAGAGGTTGCAGTAAGCCAAGATCACACCACT